TTTTTTTTTTTTTTTTTTTTTTTTTTTTCTTTTTTGGTACCGGGGATTGAACTGGGGTCTTTGCGCTTGCAAGGCAGGCCACCAAACCACTGAGCGAAATCCCCGGCCCTCAATAGACATTTCTTAAAACAAGACATACAAATGGCCAAGAGGTATGTGAAAATATGCTCAACAGCACTACTCATCAAGGTAATGCAAATCAAAACCACAATGAGATATCACTTGTTCGAATGGACATTATCAAAAAGTATTGGTGATGATTCAGAGAAAAGAGAACTCTTGCACACTACTGGTGGAAATGTAATCTCATACAGTCATTATGGAAAACAGAATGAAAGTTCTAGAAAAAAATAAAAGGAGATCTACCATACAATTGAGCAATCCCATTTCTGGGTATATATCCAATAGAAATAAAGTAGTATTTCAAAGAAATGCCTGAACTCCCATGTTCATTTCAGCATTATTCACAATTTCAGAACTATTCACAATAATGAAGATATGTAATCAATTTAAATGTCTCTGAATGACTGATCAGATAAAGAAAACGTGGCTTATATACCGTATGGAACACTGTTCAGCCTTGAAAAAGGAGGAAATCCTGCGTTTAGAATATCATGGATGGACATGGGGAACATTATCCCAGTGAAATAAATAAGTAAGGCACGGAAACACAAATATTGCACGATTGCACTATTGTGTGGAAACTGAAAAAAAAATCATAGAATCAGAGAACAAAATGATAGTTACAAGGGGCAGGGAGATGGGGAAAATAAGATGGTCAAAGGATACAAAGTTTCAGTCATGCATCATGAATATGTACTGAAGATTTAATGTACAGTATGGTAACTAAAATTAAAACTGCACCACAAACATAAAATTTGCTAAAACTATAGATCTTAAATGTTCTTATACCAAACAAAACACTATAAAGGATAGACACGGTAATAACTGAATTGTGGTGATCATTTCACAATGTACACTAATAGCAAAGCATCACATTGCTTATCATAAATATGTAATTTTTATTTGTTAATTTTACTACCCTAAAGCTGTAGAATAAAAGAAACTATCTCAGAAGCAACAAAAATATCTCAAGCAGAAAAAAGAAACTGGGCATAATTATAGGAGCACAGGGAAAAAACACCCACAAACCTCCATTCTTCCATCAAAGCTCTCCTAACAACGTAAGAGCAAACTAAATTTCCCAGCCCACCCTAAGACACATACATTCTCAGTCTGTGCAAGCCAACTGTAACAAGTCCATGCAGGACACACTGCCAATGCTGTTTCATTGTTCATTTTTCAAGAAATGCTAATATATCCAAAGAAAACTGTAAGATCATTTTTTTCCCTGAGTATAGGTCCACCTGGGTCATGGGGACAAAACAAATGACTCTCACTTAATAGGTGACTTCAGTTGTCCTTGTACATTTACATTAAAAAAAAAAACTAAAGGAAACAGTAGATATCATTGTTCGTAACTAGGAAATCCATGTTTTAAAATTAGACTAGTTGCCAGCTATTCCTCAGAGGACTCATATCTAGAATATATAAAGAACTAAAAAAAAAAAAAAAAATCAGATTCCCCCCAATAAACTCAATCAAAAATTGAAATAAACAGACACTTCTGAGAAGTACAAATGGCCAATAAATATATGAAAAAAATGTTAATCACTGCTGGCCATGACAGAACTGCAAATGAAAACAACACTGAGATTTCATCTTATACCAGAAAAATGTCAATCATCAAGAAATCAAGTAATACCAAATGATAGAGAGGCTATGGGGGAAAAAGGAGCCCTTCTACATTGCTGGTGTAAATGTAAACTAGTACAATCACTTTGGAAATCAGTATGGAGATTCCTCAAAACACTGAAACAAGAAATTCCTTTTGACCTAGCTATTTTCTGCTCGGTATCTTCCTAAATAACTAAAAACATTATACTTCAGTGATATATGCATACCAATGTTTTTAGCAGCACAATTCAAAATAGCTAAATCCTAGTAGCAGCTTATAAGTCCATCTATATATAATGGAATACTACTTAGCTATTAAAAATAAATTCAAGACATCTGTAGGAATATGGATACATGTGGAAAACAATGTTAAGTGAAATAAATCAGATACACATGCATAAATATCACATGGTTTCCCTCATTTGAGTAATGCAAAGTACAAATAAAAAATAGATACAAACTTGATAAAAAGAATCAGAGAGATCTTTTGCAAATGGGAAGGGGTCCAAGAGACCAATGGGGAGAGGGAGAAAGGGACATAAAAAGATGTAAGATGTGTCATGTATATGTACAAAATACCCACAATGATTGTAAATATGATATGCTGCAAACATGAACTGAAATAATAATACCACCAATAATAATGAAAATGGGGAAAGGGAATCTAGAGATAAAGAGCAGAAGGTAGGACGGGGGAAGAGCAATAATTAAAAAATAATCACAATATCACAGCCAGGTGTGGTGGCACACACCTGTAATCCCAGGGAAGCTGAGACAAGAGGATCACCACAAGTATAAAGGCCAGCCTAGGCTACACAGGTGTTCAAGGCCAGCCTGAACTACATAGCAAAACCCTGTCTCAAAAAAAAAAAAAAAATTAAAAAAAATTAAGTACATGTACCTAATCCCTAAGATGAATGTAAACTTTATATACTGCAAACATGTACTAATAAAATAATTTTAAAATAATATAAAATTAGGCTAATTGATATTTTCCTATAAAACTAATCTTACTGCAAGCAATTTGTACAAACCCCAGGAATTTTACACTGGGCCATATATTTCAGAGAAATAAAAACATACTGAAATACCTCACAGGAGCTTCATTCATAATAGCCAAAAACTAGAAACAGTCTAAGTGTCTATCAGAAAATGAAAGCACTATAGTACATTTACATCATGAACTAGTACTGCTATAGTTTGGACCTTTAATGGCCCCAAAGACCCATGTGTTAAAGGTTAAGTATTCAGGTTGACGTTCTTGGAAGGTAGTGGCCTAGTGGATGTGACTGGGGGCAATGCCCACAAATGGGACTGTGAAGTCCTGGTCTCTCTTTCTCGGTACTGCTTCCAACCAGCCATGAGGTCAGCAGCTTCCTCTGCCACACACTCACCATGATACACTACCTGGTCACAGGTCTAAACGGAAGAGGCCAGCCGACAATGGACTAAAACTTCCAAATCTGAGCCATAATAAATCTTTCCTTTTCAAGCTTATTATCACAGATATTTGGTTACAGTGATGCAAAACAACCACTCAGGAATAGAAAGGAAAAAAAATCAGTGATGCACACACCTTGGATAAATCTCAAGGAAATTATGGCAAGAGAGAAAAAGCTAATTCCAAAACACTGTATATTGTATGATTCCACTTATATAGTCTTTATGAAACAAAAAATTTTAGAAATGGGACCAGGAATGAGGGTGAGTATACTTACAAAAGGAAAGCATGAGGAATATTTGTGGAGGCAGAACTGTTCAATGTCTTCTAGCGATGAATACACAAATTTTTATATATGCGATAAAAGTGTATAGAAATGAACACACAAGTGGGTATAACTAAAAATGGGGAAGGGCCGGGTATTTAGCTCAGTGGTTCAGTGGCCTGCCTTGCAAGCGCAAGGACCCAAGTTCAATCCCCAGTACCAAAAAAAAATAAAATAAAAATAAAAATGGGGAAACCTCATCGGTAAGATCAGCAATCTGTAACTATATAAATATACTGAATATGGTACTGTACTATAGTTTTGCAGGATGTTGCTACTGGAGGGAACTAGGTAAAAGGATATATGAGACTTCTCTGGATTACTTTTAATAACATTAATTTACAATTATCTCAACAAAATGTCCAATTAAAAATGGTGCTTTGGGTTTTTTTTTAATTTAGCCTAGGCAATCAGTGCCTTACAAGTCTCAAGGTCTTTCAGAGTTTAATTCAAACAGTGTGCCTAATAAGGGTAAAAATTACTTACATTTGGGACATCAATTGCTACTTCCCTCATGGCACTGGGCCTGATGTCATTCATTCCCTGTAAGAAATCATTCAGAGTAATCTTCACCAACCCAGCCACTTTGCTATCAGGAAGGTTGGGCTGTTTCCTCAGGACTCTTCGCAAAGCACAGAGACCTGCAAAGAAGAAAACAATAGAAGACTTAGCTTTTATTCCATAAATACAGAGTGAATAAAAATAATGAAAAATACAAAGTCCTTGCATGTTATAGCATTTAAAATATTTGTATTTGCATGTGTGTATGATGGTGGAAGGGTGAGTGGGGAAGAGGGTGGAAAGGTGTGGAGGACAAAGACAAAAACTGCAAGTGCTTAGTTTTTTGAGAAGGAATCTGACAGACTGAAATTGAAAATGAGAATACAGGTATTTTACAAATATAAAATAGAACATACAAAATAACATTCATAAAGAAGACTGTAAAGGTTTATTAAAATAATTTGAGGACTGTCTTAAGAGTAAAATATTAATGTCTCTTAATACTGTCCTCTTTGTGAATACATTTAAAGTAGAGTAACAAGATTTATAAGATAATTGGGAGAAAAATACAAAAGGAAGTATTCATTTGGAAGATGGAAATATGGTTTTGGAACACAAGAGAAAAGCATTCTTTAGCATTAAGGGCACATACCTTTAACGTGAGATCCGATATTAAAAGAGAGGAAGAGATTTACAACGAATGGAGGTTCAAGAGCAATCAGGGATGGAGAAATAAGGGTAAAAGGGTCAATATTAGGAAAGCCCTACATTTGGAAAATACAGAAAGAAATGACTGTCTTAAAAGAAAGAAGGACCAGAGGTGTAGTTTAAAGAGTGAGCACTTGCCTAGAATGCAGAAGACCCCAGGTTTGTATCCCCAGTACCACAAAAAAATTATGTAAAATTGATTTAGAGCTCTTTGATCTATGACAATGACCTCTAGTCTAGAGACCAGTAAAGTCCCTGTGTGATCTTTACCTAGGTTCCTTTGTAGAGGTCTTATATTCACGTCCAATGCACAATGAAGTTCCACTTTGAAAAAGTTTAGTCTCAGAAATCTTATAAAAATCCAGTCTGAACATTTGAGACCAGCTAATTCCCATTGTTTTAAACTGCTTTTTTCAGAAGCATTATACCGCAATGAATGTTACATTAAAAGTGCAGCATTTCAATTTTTTTTCTGCTTTTCCTTATCTGATCTGTTATACACAGAAGAACTGACACAAGGAACATACACAAATTCTCCAGAATTCAGTATCTATCACTATGAAAAAATGTTTTTTTCGGTTTTTTGTTTTGGTTTTGGTTTTGGTTTTTGGTTGTTTTTTTTTTGGTACTGGGGATCAAACTTGGGTCCTTGCACTTGCAAGGCAGGCGGTAGAACCACTGAGCTAAATCCCCAGCCCAAAATTTTTAAATGAAGGGTACAAAGAACAAAAAAAAAAAAAAAAAAAAAAAAGGCCTCTGCTATCTAAAACCTGTAGGTCAGTCATTTAGAACTACTTACAAATACTCATTTGTTTTTCTGCCTTCTAAAATGTTCAAAGATAATTCTCCTCTCTCACATCTCTGCTTATCATGACAGCAGAAGTACTGACAGCCTTTGCTAAAAACTAACCTTTGAAGGATATCTGTGTACAAGAAAGCAGTGTCTCCCTTCAAAACAAAGAACAGAAGTGCTTACAAACAATTATTAAGGATCCTGATTCTCAAAGTTCAAGATTCTCCTCTTTATATTACAACTTCTTTTGTGCTTAAGTCTCATCTAGCCCTTTGGGTCACTCTGAAAATTGAGGCTCAGCTTAGTAGTGCAAGTACTGTAGCTATTTCTGTTTCTGTAATATTCTATCCTTTGACTTTTAGTCAGGAATACTGTGTCTTCTACAAGCACTAATGAAATCTGACAGCTTATAATTAAACTTGCAGACTATTACGGTTTAGATCTAAAATGTTTCCCAGTCTCACATGTTCAGAAGTAGGGTTTTTGGAAGGTGAATAGATCAGGAGGCTCTAAGTATAACTGAATGTGCAGTTAGGAGGTGGTGCCTGATTGGAGGGTGCAAGGTCACTAGGAAGTGCGATCTGAAAGGTATATTCTGTCCCCAGCTCCTCTCTTGTTTGCTTTGTAGAGGCCACACACAGATTGAGCAACTTCCTTCTACCATGCCATTTTGTCTTACAGCCAGTCAACCATGGATAAAACTCTCTGAAAACATAAGATAAAATAAACTTCTCCTCCTTTACGTTGCAGGAGTCAGGTATTCTGTCCCAGCAAAGAGAAGGTGACTAATACACAGACCTTTCCCAATTCCTGACAAACAAAAAAATTTATGTTTGCAATGGTTGGAATGTTTTTGCCCCTTCCAAAACTCATACTGAAACTTAATCTTCAAAGTAACAGTGCTGGGACATGGGACAAATGAAGCGTGTAGGGACTGAGAGCCTTCAAGAATGGATTAACACTGATATAAAAAGGGCTTCTAGGTGGTGCATTCACCGCCCTCTTTTCTTCTACCACATGAGAAAACAACATTCCTCCCCTCCAGAGAAGCAGCATTCAAGGCACCATCTTGGAAATAGAGATACCAGGCCCTCATCTGCCAGCATCTTCAGCTTGCAATGAACTAGGGAAAACAAATTTCTCCTTATAAATTACCCAATCTGTGGTGTATTGTTATAGCAGCATAAAATGAACAACACTAGGGCCAGAGATTTAGCCCAGTGGTTCTGGTGCCTGCCTCACAAGTACAAGAATCGAGTTCAATCCCCAGTACCAAATGAACAAACAAACAAAAAAAACACTAGGGAGAGCCACACCTTCTCCCGCCCCAGCCAACAGGCCTCCAGCACCCCAGAGGTAGCCTGGGCCCTGATCCACCATGGGAAGGAGAGCCACGCCTTCTTCCCGCCCCAGGGGCCATCGCTCCAGTGCCAGGAAGGTAGCCGTGTGGGGGCACCTGAACCCCCATAACTCCCCTTACACCCCTACACACCCGCTTCCTGCACTCTCAGACCTCCTGACTGTGCCAGTCTTTGGACCCCCTCTGCAGAGGCAGAGGGGGTCATCAAGGGTATTTTTCTGAGTTCCCAACTTTGAACATCTTTAAAGAATGGGCGTGGGAAACCTGTAGTAGAACGGTGTAGAGTTCAACCATTCAGAAGGTTGGGGAGCTCAATCTGAGCCTTGTAGCCTGAGGTCAGTCTGCGTCATGGGGTTCAGCCATCAGCTAACTGAGATCACGGGTCTTGCGGCCTCGCTCTGTCTGAGCCATTAAAAGGTAAATATACTATATTGAAATTTTGTTCACTGCAGAAATGTTCTGGACTGCTTCTTGATTTCAGTTAATTCAAATGATTTAAGGGTGATAGACTAGTGACTACCACAGGTCAGTTTCCAAGTTGTTCTTGATCTTAATGTGTTGCTGATTCTATCAGTTGGGATAAAGCATTGCAGTTGATTTGATGAGCTGTTTTCTCTGATGTTATGAAGATGAGAATATCTGTGGGTCTTTAGAGACACAGAAGGTAGGGCACAAGTATATCAGGAAGATTTGGGTAATAACCCAGAGATTAAACCATGGACAGTCCAACAACAAAAATAAAAATGAGAAAACACTTAAGCAAGACACAAAGACAGACTTCCAGTTCACCAAAGGCAAACAGTAGGACAAATGAGGATGAAAAGGCCGATAGTGAACCACCAAGACACCCTGAACTCAAAGCACAGGAAGTAACAAAACAGATCAATCAGGCTCTAGAAAAATTCAAAACAGAAATAATTTCCCAGATAACCATAGAGATAGTGAGCAAAATGGAAGTTGTAATTCGAGACTCTAGAGCAGAAACTGACAAAAAAATAGATGAGCTCAGGACCAGGATAGAAGCCATGAAGGCCCAGCATAAGAAAGAAATGGAAACAATAAACGCCCAACATAAGAAAGAAATGGAATCCATAAAACAGATTCAAACAGATATACAGGAGATTAAACACTCCATAGAAAGTGTACACAACAGAATAAAAGAATGAGAAGATAGACTCTCAGATATAGAAGATAAGATTGTAGTCAGTGACCATGAAAAGAGAGGTCTCTTAAAAACAGTAAAGGATCATGAGAAATCGATCCAACAACTCCTAGATGATGCAAAGAAGAACAACATAAGACTGATAGGAATCCATGAAGTAGTAGGAGAAAATACAGATGACTTAAAAAAGCTGTTCGCAGAATTAATAACAGAAAACTTCCCAGAGGGGAAGAATTTGACATTCAGATAACTGAGGCATACAGGACCCCAACTAGCTACAATAAAAAAAAAATCTACACCTGGACATATAATAATCAAGATCCCAGAAACCCAACAGAAGAACAAAATATTACAAGCAGTAAGAGAAAAGAAACAAATCACATGCAAAGGAAAGCCCATCAGAATCACAGCAGACTTTTCAACA